TATAATAATAATATATATATTATATATTATATATATATAATATAATATATTATTACCGGTACTAAATATTTTATTTGGAGCAATTCAGTATAAAAATATGTTTTAATATGTATTCATCGTGATCATGTACAGTCAAACCTGTATATAAATCCATAATCACTCAAGGGAAACACCAATAGAGTGCTTTATAGACAGGTGTCTGTTCTATATAGCAGTAGTTTCACTGAGCCGGGCTCGACTGCATATGTATTTTTACCAAATACAGAAAGCTCAACAAGATAGAAGTGTCGCTATAGAATAATAAGTTTAGTGCGCGTAGACGTGAGGGGGCGGGCGGTGTGAATAATCACCTGCACTTCCCGCGCGTCTGCGTCGGGGTAGGAATGTTCCGCGTCGTGCACCGGTCGCCTAGCATCGGGGAGAGCGATGGGTGGAAGTAGACGCGACGGAGGCGGAGGGCCGCCACACACCGCGAGTCTGTGGTATATGCACGAATTGTTAACCCTTGTTTGTAATGTGCGGATAGTCATAGTCTTAGCCATCCAGGCATGAGTAGGCCCTCGCAGCGCATGAGAGGTCATGTTAGTCGTCTGGGCACAATGTTAAAAAGTAGCTCCCTATTTGTAGTCTAGATAAAGTTTCTTACTGATTACAGCTATAGGAACCACGTGGCAGAGAGATACCTACGGGTATTATCGGCATTCATCTTCACTCACCCTCAGTTGATTAGCATGATGGATAGTTCTGATTCCAACTGCCCCCTTCCCACCTCACCAGTATCATGTTTGTTGCAGCTGCTGTCATATTACTTGCCACTCTCACCTGCCTTCACTCACCCTGAACGTGTCAGTTCAGTTGTCATTGACTTGCCCTTCACCTGCCCTTCACTCACCATTCAGTTGTCATTGACTTGCCCTTCACTCACACCTTCAGTTGTCATTCACTTGCCCTTCACACTGCCTTCAGCTCACTATAGCCACTTATACATATTATGTTAATAACTTATAGGGTTACATAGCATTAGAAAGAAACTAGTTATAGAAAAGGTTTAGTAAAATGAAATTTATGTATGCTAATTTAATGTATTTTATAATTAATACCATGAACCTATATGTATATTAAAAAATAGATGTAGGTTCACGGTAATACTAATTGGCACATGCTATAGCATTAACAGAAAATAATTACAGGCTTATCTAAAATAGCTGGCATGTGATAGTAAAGCAGTGAGTGTATCCTCATGATGTAGGCCTAATCAATGTATATATGGTGACATATAATTTATATATATTTAATTACATGATCTGATAGTGAGATTTTAAAATGCTGCTCGATTTTCGTCCAGAAACATTTTCCAAAGAAAATTCTTCCAATTTTGCAACGACCTTGAAATGTGTGGTGACTTCACAGTGTTACACGTGACTGCGTGAAATGCACCAGAGAGCTAAAGCCACTTAGGGTGGTTGGGACACGGCTAGGCACGGCTAACCATGGCTATAGTCTAGCGATTCTCCCTTATGTTGTGCGTGCCGCGTTAGACAACCTTACCCAAAGGTTTCCCAGGGGCCGATCCGGAACCTGAACGACGGAAGAAAGCAAACAGGGTTGCAGTCAATCAGTGGGAAGAAGAGACAGTCAACAAATGTCTCAACAGTCAACAGTTTACCGATCGCAGAAGCCTGGGCTAGGGGAGCGATCCACACGTACGACACGCGTGTGTTATCTTCTCTCAGAAATGTTAAAGAGGTGCTTTGGTGAAGAGTACAGGCCGCATGTATATACGTATGCTTGTGAGTAGCAGAGATTCTGGTTATATGTGCAAGCTCTATTCTAACGTAGCACTAGTAAATATAACAGATAAGCAGCAGCTTAGATGTTAACATCGGCCAAATGCTTCTAACGACAGATACGCAAAATAAATGGGTAAATTAACAAGCTGATAAACGACTCTATCTACACGCTCTAAATCTGCCACTAGCATCTCAACACGAAACGTATCCACGGCAACGAGAATAATCCGACAACACATCTCTCAGCTTTCCGACCGAATATGGCGTATTAGCAGCAGGAACATCAAAACCCCAATAATACTGATGCTCCTGCTACGTTAGCTATTTTTGTTTTAAATCAGTTTGACATCATTACAGCTTTAGAAACAAAGATTTATTTAGAATGTGCCAAAAGTCTCTAGTAAAATGAACCACAGATTTTAATTTAATAACAATAATAATCATTGACATATCATAATGTAATAAATCGATATCAAATAGGAGGAACAGCTGAGCATACATCGGCTCTAGCTAGCTTCGTCTACCGGATCTCATTATCACTCTGCTGCCATTGTTTGATACGTCACGTTCGTTTGCTACGTCCACGCGACCTTCGCGACATTGCGAAGGTCGTCAGCGTCGTTCACTCACCGACGAACTTCTCGAGCGTGATCTTCGGGAACAGTTCGCGTCTGCTCGCCATGACGATGAAGTACTGCAGCGAAAGCGTGTGCCGGCCGCCGTCCGTCTGCCTCACCGCCGTGCAGGGGGCAGCACTGTGCTCGACGATGAGCCCGACGTCGAACTCGTGCAGCTGTCGAGCGTCCTCGAGGTCCTTGTAGGATCCGCGGCACGACGAGAGAGACACGAGCACGTACTCGTTCTCCGACTGTCAACAATGGGAAGGTCGAGCGATGAAGTGAGCGTTGCCGTGGCGATTATTAAATTGACTTGTGCCATTCTTTATGATAATTGGCTTGTAATAATATCAGCTAAACTATACAATACTTTATACGCATTTTTTTTTTAATCGGCTAAATTGTGGCATGCTTCATAAGAATTCGTTTTTAAAATTGACTAAACTATCGAGTGATTCATAAGTATAGGTTTTTATTATATTCTCTACAAAATCAATTGCATACACTTCACTCCCTCCAGAAAATCTGACTACACTACCTGGATGGGTAGCAGGGCAGGGAAAGGGGTGAAGGTAGAGGTGGAGGCAGCGCAGGGGGGGACCTCAGACACACATGCATCTACTGACGTGGGGGGCATTGTTGTCAGAAACAAAATTACTCCTAACGTCAGTCTCTCTTAGACCGTTGATAGAAACATCGTGAAGTTACGAGAAAAAAAAAAAGCACTACTACCAAATTTCCTCACAGATTCACGAAACATAATTCTGTCAGCGTTCTACAAGAAAAGACAAGAATAATGCTAATTCCAAGACTAAGTTTGTTTCTGACAACAACGCGTCCCACGTCGGTAGACGCGTGTGCGTGTGTTTGCGTGTTAGTTATTCACCACTTCGGGGTCCGGTTCGTCGGCGGTGGTGACGGGTACCATGCGCATGACGGTCATGCCATAGTGTCGGTCCTTGTTCAGCATGTATTCATACAGCTTGCTAGCCGGAGTTATCAGGTCCGGTATGCTGATCGTACCTGCGGGTAAAGTATCATCATTATTACTATTACTATTATTATTATTATCATTGTTATTATATTATAATAATAATAATTATTATTATCATTGTTATTATATTATTATTAATATTATTATTATTGTTATCATCATCATCATCATCATTATCATGAACATCATCATCATCATCATCATCATCATCATCATCATCATTATCATGAACATCATCATCATCATAACCACATATTAGCGCATCTAACCTGAGAGGGGCAATCATTGAGAATCCTAGAGACTTCTGGCATTATTATTAGTATTATTATTAGTATTATTATTATTATTATTATTGCTATTGATATTACTATTATTATAATTATTATCATTATTATATTCATTAATTATACACTATTAGGACTAACCTGACAGGCAGTCGTTGCGAGCGAACCCGGGAGACTTCTGGTAGTAATTCATGAAGTCGTTCATGAAGCTAGCGAGATGGTATCCCTGCTTGAGGATGAGAACGCGTCCGGAGAGGTAGGAGAGGATGGTGCGCAGGTGGAAGTCGTAGGCGAACGAGTGAACGTGGATGCGGATCTTATCCTTCTCACATTCATCGATGAACATCAGCTTCATCTGCAGCGCACGTTCGTCAACGAATTAATTCTTCTCTTTCAATTCTTATTAGAGAGATTAATTCTAATTTTAGCGATTAATTTAATTACTAGGGGAACGTGTTAATAATTGTTAACGCATTTGTTAAAGAATTAATATTACCTAAAAAAGTTAAGTTGAAACACATTAACATTTCTTAACGAATTATTATTAATTTAATTGTGGCATACATTAAAAATTATTATAATTAAAATTATCAATGACCGTCGCATTAACGACTACTCATAAAAGAAATTACGATGTGCCAGTAGCACTACGATGAATAGAGAGACCCAGTCTGTCAGCATGGTAAACCTCATGTAATAATGTGGCCCCCTTACCTGCACTCCATGGCTAGTTTGGCTACCTGCGTACGTTTTACCTGTGAGACAAGACACTCGTTACCTACCTGGTTGATCAGCATGGTAAACCATAGCTACGATAACGTGACCCCCATGCTCCGTGATTACGGCGATCCGCACGCGCGGTTACAGGTGTGTTACCTGTAGAGAGCCTCGTTACAGGTGTGTTACCTGTAGAGAGCCTCGTTACAGGTGTGTTACCTGTAGAGAGCCTCGTTACAGGTGATGTTACTGTAGGAGAGCTTCGTGTACAGGTGTGTTACCTGTAGAGAGCCTCGTTACAGGTGTGTTACCTGTAGAGAGCCTCGTTACAGGTGTGTTACCTGTAGAGAGCCTCGTTACCTGGTTGCTCAGCATCGTGCCGGTGAGCAGACGTGAACACTCGAGACCGAAGATGCTGATCATAAAGAAAGGTTCGACGTATTTCAGCTCCACCATCAGGATTCCTCCGAGCATCGTCTTCTGCAGGTAGCAGCTGATCGCGTCGTGCAGCTTCACTCCTCTGCTGCCTCCTCCTCCGCTGCCGCCGCCGCCGGTGGATCCATCCGTGGCCGGCCGCTTCCTGTGAGGGCGCACGAAG